CGAGGTGGGCTGTCAATCACAGATCGTCCTTCTAGATTCATCTACTATCCCAACCACAACTTCTCTAGGGGGGTGGGGGTGATTGTGGCTTCCTACACGTGGAACAACGACGCTGAATTCTTTCTTTCCCTGAGTGACAAGAAGTGCATTGATGTGGTGCTGGAGGACCTGGCAGAAATCCACAATGTATCTAAGGACCATCTCCGGTTTGTCTGTGATAAACACGTGATACAGAGATGGAATCTGGACAAACATTCCATGGGAGCATTTGCCTCATTCACCCCCTACCAGTTTGCTCACTATCCTGGGCCTTTGTTTCAGAAGGAAGGGAGGGCCCCCTTGGCAGGAGACCACACAGCCCTGCCTCACGGCTGGATTGACACTGCTATGAAATCTGCTGTGAGAGCAGCAAGGAACATCCACAGGGATAGCTATCTGTCGTGGGGGAAACATTAGCTGCAGAAGCAGCAAGAACAACAAGAGCAGGAGCAGGAAAGGGTTAACTGGGTTCAAAAATGTGGATTTTAATTGCTTTATGGGTGTTTAAGGAAGGCACAACTGCACTGGACACTGAGGAGGGAATTAGAAACTGCACTGATAATCTCCTTCACGGGGACAGATCCTCAACTGGTGTAAATTGGTGTATTTCCATTGAGTCAATAGAGCTAAACCACTCAACACCAGTAGAGGATCTGGCCCCAAATCCAGTGTATGTAAACTGAGTTTGTTCTGTCTCCTTTGAAATATTAAATAAAACTACTACAGTATAGAAACCTCCACAGAATTAATTTGTTTCATTAATCAAAATCATTACTGATCAAATACAAAGCACTAACCTGTTCTTTATAAATAGAAAGAAATATTGTTCTGTAGCATCCTATCAATAAAAGAATAGATAGAAATAATCCAATATTGCTTTCATTTTGTTCATTAGTTGTAAACTATGATAATTTGCAGTAGTGATGCTATGGAATAGGTAAGGCTGAGAGAACAGCTTATTCCTAAACCAATTCTAGTCAGTTGCACTTTTCAAAACATGTTTCTAACAGTGCAAATAAACAAAACCAGGCATGCACTGATGGCCTGAAATCCTAGGCTCTGACTAGACTAGAATTGTTGGTCATTTCATCACTCAGGTTGATTGACATGTGGGGTGAACTCACAAGATGCTGAATGCAAATATAGATACTCCCCAGATGTATGTATGTTGGTCATGGTTCAATCTAGGGCTCGAGAAACAATGTTTGTGTCACTGAATAAACAAGGACACAAATTTCCTTATAGACAGGGCCCTCTGGGTTATTTCTTTTCAAAGAAAATGTGAATTAAACATTTTCAGATGTTAAAGTACATGAGTGTGAAATAAGCCATTTCTCTGCCATTGTGGGATTTGTTTTGAGAACAGGTTCATCCTGAAACTGGGCATGTAATCCAGCCACTCATCCTCTCATGAAATTGTATGTCACTCCAGGCCTGATTCTACCACACTTCCTTGTCTTATGTAATATCCAAGTCCTGGTCTGCTCTAGAAAATTAGGTCATCATAAATAAATCACTCAGGCATGCGAAAAATCCACACTCCTGATTGGCTTAGTTAAGCCAACCCAAGTCCCCGAGTAGGCAGCACTAGGGCGACTGAGGAATTCTTCTGTTGACCTAGCTACCACCTCTCAGAGAGGGAGCTTATGTACACCAATGGGGAATCCCTCCATTTGGCATAAATTATGTCTACAGATAAGAGCTACAGAGATCCTGCAGTAGCATTTCAAGGGCAGACAAGACATATTCTGATTATCCTCATGGGGGACAAGCTTGAACAGTTACTCACATAAAACATAAGAACGACCTTACTGGGTCAGACCAAAGATCCATCTAGCCCAGTACCCTGCCTTCCAACAGTGGCCAATGCCAGGTGCCCCAGAGGGAATGAACAGAAGAGGCAATCATCAACTGATCCATCCCCGTCACTCATTCCCAGCTTCTGGCTAACAGAGGCTAGCACCATCCCTGCCCATCCTGACTAATATCCATTGATGGGACATATGCTCCATTCATTTATCTAGTTCTTTTTTGAACCCAGTTATAATCTTGGCCTTCACAAAATGTACTGGACAATGGGATGTTCTGATAACGGCCGTTCTCAAAAATTGTTCTAAAAATCTCAGATTGTTAAAGAATTTAGAACAATCAAGAGATAATACAGCAAGATATTCCCAATCCCAATCCTTGGGGGATCAGTTCTGCATCTTTAACACAGATATCAGCAACACATGTTTGGTACTTTGTGCACTATCTTTAGGAGAGCGAAATAAAACTTCCTTACTTTCTCTGACACACTCTGTGTTACTGCCATTGTCTGCTCTAGTTTAGTGAATTGTTTTTCACTTCACTAAAAATGCATTTATTTAACTTTAACATGCAGTTAAGGTTTTTTCCCTCTTTTATTAAGAAGGGGTGTCAAGGCTGCTTCCCCACTCTGAACTTTAGGGTACAGATGTAGGGGCCTGCATGAAAACTTCTAAGCTTAACTACCAGCTTAGATCTGGTCCGCTGCCACCACTCTCGATGCTAATTCCCTTCCCTGGGTAGCCTTGAGAGACTCTTCACCAATGCCCTGGTGAATACAGATCCAAACCCCTTGGATCTTAAAACAAGGAGAAATTAACCATCCGCCCTCCTTCCTCCCACCAACTCCTGGTGGATCAAGATCCAACCCCCTTGGATCTAAAAACAAGGAAAAATCAATCAGGTTCTTAAAAAGAAGGCTTTTAATTAAAGAAAAAGGTAAAAATACAACTCTGT